CTTGTTGTTTGCCAGCCGTCTTTGGCAATCCTTGGCTTGTAGAAGCATCTTCCCAGTTTCTGCCTCCGTCTTCGCATGGTGGTCTTCCCGTGTGCATGTCTGGATCCAAATTTCTCTTTTTTATAAGGACCACCAGTCATGTTAGGTTAGGGCCCACCCTAATGATTTCATTTCAACTCGACTGCTTCTGGAAAAAGCCTGTCTCCAAATAAGGTCACACTGTGTGGTACTGGGGGGTTAGGACACCATTATAATCTTTTGAGGGGGACACAGTTCAACCCATAACAGCCAGTGAGGGACTAGATTCATGACTTTGAGCAAGTATCTGAGATTCACAGAATCTCAGTTTCTTTATCTGTGAAATCAGGATTTTAAAAATATCTACTACAGAGTCTTTAAAATATTTTTTGATGTTTTATTTATTTTTGAGATACAGACTGAGTGCAAGTTGGAGAGGGGCAGAGAGAGAGGGAGGCTCCAGGCTCCGAGTTGTCAGCACAGAGCCCAATGTGGGGCTTGAACTCATTAGCTGTGAGATCATGACCTGAACCGAAGTTGGGTGCTTACCCGACGGAGCCACCCAGGCACCCCTACGGGCTTTTTTTTTCTTAATTTTCATCAGATTAGACACCACACTTAATTTTTTTTTTTCTTTTGGGGCACCTGGGTGGCTCCGTCGGGTAAGCGTCCGACTTTGGCTCAGATCATGATCTCACGGTTCGCGACTTCAATTACCGCGTCGGGCTCTGTGCTGACAGCTCAGAGCCTGGAGCCTGCTTCACATTCTGTGTCTTCCTCTCTCTCTGCCCCTCCCTCACTTTCACTCTGTCCCTCTCTCAAAAAATAAACAAGAAAAGAAATCTTTAAAGAAAATATTTTTTTCTTTTCTATTTATCTATTTAGTATTTATTTATTTTTGAGAGAGACAACGTGCACATGGGGGAGGGGCAGAAGTAGTCTCCAGGTTCTGAGCTGTCAGCACAGAGCCCAACACGGGGCTTGAAGTTGTGAACTGTAAGATCATGACCTGAGCCAAAGTCAGACACTTGACCAACTGAGCCACCCAGGCACCCTCTTTTTTTTTTTCCTTTTTACAAGCGAGGTGCAGAACAGTGAGGTTAGTTGCTATAATCTGGCTTAAAGGAGATGGGCAACTCGCCATCCATTCTGTGCGTGCGTGTGCGTGCACGCAGGTGTGCGTCCCATAGGCTGGGACTATCTAAATCATGGGACCATCAGAACCTAAGGCAGACTAACAGAAACCACATAGCATGCAAACATGATGACTTCACATTTTCACTCCAATGCAAGGGGATATCAGCAATGAAATCAAGAACTAGGCAACTTTGCTGCTGCTAAATCAGCTTTATCCTTTTCTTCACAATGAGTGGCATCTTCCCCAAGTTTCCTGATCAGACCCACTAAAAGCACAGCCTCTGTCCCCCGATAGTCGGGTCTGGTTGGCCTGGCCAGGGGATCTGCATTTTACCAGCTCCCCAGGTGAGCCTTATAGGACGAGCCTGGGAACACAGACGTAGCGGGACCCGATTTCTCGCCTCGGCTTCCCCGAACCGGAGTGACCTTCGTTTCTTCAACTTTGACCTCGTGCCTGACTTGGAGTTGAGATCACAAAGTCCTTTCCAGCTCTAAAATGCCACCCCTTTTCGTGCTGCTCCAGGCTTGTCCACATCGCAGCATGCTCCTTGAATCGCACCTGACCTCTTTCCTCTTCCACGCGTCTTCCCACCAGCTGGGGAGGCACACGGTCCATGCTCAGTGGGGGGCTGGCCAAGCTGACCTGCTGATGGACCCGTTCGAATGGGGGCAAAGAGCAGCTGACCGTGGTGGGGGGTGGGGGGTGCACAGGAGCAGAACAACTTTAGTAGAGCCTCTTCCCCTGAAGCGGCGGACAGACCAGCTTCTTGGGCCTTTGCGGGCAGCTTGTGGACCAGCTGGGTGTGTTTGTTTTAGGCTCACCTTTTACCAGAGCTGCTTTGTGAATCATTGTTAGGAAACGCACTTGGTTCTGGAGAGGCCCTTGGCAGCCGCCGTGCTTTAGGATGAGCAGATTGTTTTGCTGGTTTGGTTTTGTTTCACTGGATAAGAGGGCGAGGGACCCTCCGACTGTACTGGTGGACGTGCCCAATGATGCAGCAGCTTTGGGAAACAGTTTTGCAATCGATTAAAATGCTAAACACAGAGTTACCATATGGCCCTAGAGCAATGCGAGCATACATCTACCCAGAAACGTGTGCATGAATGTTTGTAGCAGCATTAATCACAGTAGCCAAAAGGTGGAAACGACCCAAATGCCCATCAACGGATGACTGCCTGAGTTCTGCTACACCCACAAAGTGGAATACTCTTTGGTCATAAAGAATGAAGTACTTGGGCTGTCTGGATGGCTCAGTGGGCTAAGCGTCTGACTCTTGATTTCAGCTCAGCTCACGACCTCACGGTTGTGGGATCAAGCCCCGCGTCGGGCTCCACGCTGAGCACGGAGCCTGTTTGAGATTCTCTCTCTCCCTCTGTCTCTGCCCCTCCCCCTCTCAAAATAAATAAATATTTTTTAAAAAGAATGAAGTACTATTATTTGCTACAACTTGGATGATCTTCAAAAGCATAATATGAAGTGACAGATACGAGACACAAGAAGTTACATATTGCACGTTTCCGTTTATATGAAATGTCCAGAGGAGGCACATCCCTAGAGACAGAAAGCAGATGAGTGGTTCCTGCCATGCCTGGACAGGGAGGGGAAGCCACAGAGGCCACTTCATGCCTTCAGGGATGTTCTGGGGTGATGAAAAAGTTTTGAAACTAGACGGAGGTGATGGTTGCACAACACTGTGTGGCACGAAATGCCACTGAGTCATATGCTTTAAAAACGGTTCATTGTTTGTTCTATAAATTTCACATCAATAAAAATAGAGCAAAGAGTAGGGGAGGGTGCGGTGAAGGGCAGGAAAGAAGAATGGGACAGAACGCGAGGGAAGCAGTATTCTTACGCCCCAAGTGCATTTTCTTCGTCTTAAGGATAATGTGACCATTGTGTCACTAAAATAGAACAGAGCATTCCACTGAGTGCCTCTGAGCCGTGGAAGCTCCAGCCCTTCCTTTCAGCGGGAGAAATCTTTGATACTGGAAGTCACAAGATGCGCTGGCCAACATCAAGTCTACGGGTTGAGGCTGAGGCCCCTCTGGCTTTCCTCGCACTCAATACCTCCAGCTCCGAGGACTCGGCCCTGAGACAGGCACACAAGGTTCTCCCAGCCCTGGGAGCTGATTGAGCACCTCGGGACTCGGGGGGGTATGGGGTCTCAGGGGGAGAGCGAGCCCTTCTGGGCTACAGGATCACCAAGCCCCCATGCAGGGACCCCCTTTTTGTCAGCTCTTGGCTGCATAAGTCCTATGTGTCCTAGTGCTCAGCAAGGTAAAGACTCAGATTAAACACCACCACCAAAAGCCTGGGGGGGATTCGAGCTGAACGATGGAGAAGACGTGCTGGTTGGCCAGTCCAGAGAGAGCATGTGGGAGAGCTTCCGGACAGTCCTTCACCGCTGGCTTTGCCACTCTTCTGTCCCGGTCCCTTCCAGACAGGTCTGGATGAAGGTCACAGGCAGGCCTGACGAGTTCGGGATGCAGACAGAGTTCTGCAGAGTTCACTCACCAGTCAGGCCCACGCGGGCTGTCTGAATGGTGGAGCTTGGCTGCTTACCCGGACTCGCTCCTCCAGGACCACTCTGCTAAGGGTTTGGTGTCTACCACCAGGCTTCACCGCCACCGCCAACATCACCCTAAACCGGGTCTCTGATTAAATCTCTGTCCCGTCACGCGCGCTCCGCACTAACTATGAACATTCCCAGATTCAGGGTCTAGATTGACAGTCGCTGCAGCATCTCCAACTGAGAAGAAGCTATTTGAAAAGAGGCAGGTGTAACCCCTAAACACAGGTCTTGCCCACAGTCAGAGGGAGGGGCTTGGGGCGCGTGCCCAGCTGCTCCCGTGTGCACGTTTTTCCCCAGAGCCGGGCGGTTGGCTGCCCCCAGTATACCGGGACCCTGCGATCTCCAGAACAGCCGGGCAGCCCCTTCTAGCAGTTCAAGAAGTGCTTTGGGGTTCAAGGTCAACCCTCCATAGATGACCTTCTTTGCCTTACAGCTACCTGGTGGATCCCTGCTGGAATCCCCTCATCAAAGGGAGAGAAGGGGGTGGTCCTGGAAGGAAGGAGTCTATCAAGCCCTCTTTGGAAGTCCTCACTGCACTGAGTCTGTTCTGATGCAAAACTCACCGTTCCCTTAGATTCCTGTTATGGGTGCTATTTTCTCCTTCTTTGAGTATTTTGACACACGCCTTCGTTGTTCTCCAGCCTAAGACTTTCAGTAACGCACACGGTTTTTTAATCAAATAACTAAAACTAAATGACAAATTTTAATTTCCATTAAAAAGTTAGATTTCATTTCAAGTTCACTGAAAACCAAATTATATTTGCTTTAAAAAAAGATGCAGCGGGGCGCCTGGGTGGCGCAGTCGGTTAAGCGTCCGACTTCAGCCAGGTCACGATCTCGCGGTCCGGGAGTTCGAGCCCCGCGTCGGGCTCTGGGCTGACGGCTCGGAGCCTGGAGCCTGTTTCTGATTCTGTGTCTCCCTCTCTCTCTGCCCCTCCCCCGTTCATGCTCTGTCTCTCTCTGTCCCAAAAATAAATAAAAAACGTTGAAAAAAAAATTAAAAAAAAAAAAAAAAAAGATGCAGCATAGCTGTGAGACTGGAGGCCTGAAAGGCCCCATCCCTCCCTCCCACATCACCTCACCCTTCCCCAGCCCCACAAATGTAATCCTGCCTGAATGCCATCCTCCTACCCCAAAGGCAGAAATCTGTGCCCGATCTTGTCTCCGGGGCTGGAGCGCACAGATCACATCACAGATCACATGGGGTGGCCACTCATGCTTCTTAATCAGAGCATCAGATGATTTAGTTGATGTGGCTGTGCTTTTGTTTTGATAAAGCTTCTCTCTGGCGAGGCGATCTCTGAGCTTATGGGCCTTTCCTTGGCCCAACTTCAATAGCTCGATTAACTTCCTGTGCTGAGGGCCCTTGAGCCAAGACCTCTTCTCATGTGAGTCACCGTCAGAGCCTGAACCTACTTCAGAGCGTAGGTTCAGGCGGGAGGGCCGATCCATAGGTGGCTTGGGTGCTGTGAAAAAAGAGCCCTGGAATGGGAGACTGAAGTCTGGCTTGAATTCTGGCTTTGCCCCTTAGTAGCTGTGTGACTTTGTACAAGTTAGTTAACGTCTCTGGGCTTCCATTTCTGCATCCGTCCAAGAGGGCTTACAAACAGGAAGTGAAGAGAGAAAGGAGGTCAGGTCAGGCTGGGACTTTCTTGTTTGGCGATCTTGACTGTCCTCTGTCCTCCCAGAGCCTCAGGGGTGAGCTCTGGTGAAGGGGAGAGACTCAGCCTGTCTCTGGGAGCTCCTGCAGAAATTAGGAGAGCAAATGTATGTACTGTGCCTGGCACGTGAAGAAATGTTTTCATTGACTATAAAACAAAGATAAAATATACCATCTGTATCTACCTGCACAGGCTTCTGAAAGGATCCAATTAACAATATATGTGAAAATACACCATAGACTATAAAGCCCAGTAGGATCATCATCATCATGATTAGAATCTGTGTTTTCTCTCAGACCTTTCAAACCTTCAAAAAGTTGAAACAAAGCATTACAACAAACATCTGACCGTCCTTTCCCCGGATTCACCAATTATTTTTTTTTTCAACGTTTTTTTTTGTTTTTTTTTTTTTTTTGGGACAGAGAGAGACAGAGCATGAACGGGGGAGGGGCAGAGAGAGAGGGAGACACAAAATCGGAAACAGGCTCCAGGCTCCGAGCCATCAGCCCAGAGCCCGACGCGGGGCTCGAACCCACGGACCGCAAGATCGTGACCTGGCTGAAGTCGGACGCTTAACCGACTGCGCCACCCAGGTGCCCCTCGGATTCACCAGTTATTAACACTTGCTCACTCTCTGTATCTCTATCTGCTTGCTCTCTATTTACGATCTGTGATTTGTCAAGCCATTTGAAAGTAAGTTACAGACATCAGACCTTACACCCAAGCAATTTAGCATATACCTCCTAAGCATGACACTATTCTCCTACACAACGGAGTGTAGTTATTACTCAAGGACTTTAATGTATATATACTAATATTAAAAATACACAGTCTATACCATATGCAGTCTATAAATTGCCCCGGTTACCCCACAATCTCCCTTAGAGCTATTTTTGTTGTTGTTCCAAAACAGGTTCCCACGTTTCATCTGGTTATTACATCTCTTTAATCCTCTGTAATCTAGAACTGAGCCATCCAATATGGAAGCCCCTGGCCATGTGGCTATTGAGTGCTTAACATGTGGCTTGAAATGTACATTGTACTGAAAACTCAGCACACACACAAACTAACGCAAGCTATCTCGCTGGTAATCCTGTATACTGATTGCATACTGAAGTGTTAATACATTGAATATATTGGACTAAAAATATAAAATTAAAATTATTTGTTGAACTTATTAATTAATAATTACCATTTTAAATGACTAAGATTAATTTTACTTGTTTCTTTTATTTTTAATGTGGCAATGTAAATTTTTTAAATTGCATATATGGCTCTTGTATTTCTATTGGACGGTGGTGTTCCAGAATATTCTTTCCTGCCTTATTTTTTTCTTTTGTGACAGAGTTTTTTCAGAATCAAAGCCCATTGTCTTGTAGAATGACCTATAATCTGAACTTGCGTAGATTGACTAGATTCTGGTTAAATCTTTCTGACAAGAATATGACCTAAGTGGGGTCGGTACTTTACAGCGCATCACATCATGGGGTCCGTTGTCTCTGTTGGGATTACAAAGTCTCATCACTTGGTTAAGTAGCATCTGCCAGATCTCTTCAATATAGTGGTGACTTCCTCCGTTGTAATCAATAAATAACCTCAAGGGAGATCCTTGGAGACCAAGTGACAACCTCCTCCTACAACCTTTTACCCAATGGTTTTAGCATCTAGTGATGATCTTTGACTCTATCAATTATGCATCAGTGGTTGAGAAAAACACACACATCTTAACTTTTCATTGAAACTCAATGGCTTGACTAATTTCCTGTTCATGTCTTTTATGCTGAGACAGGATGTGAACAATTCACTGCTTTCTAAATCCCATCATGTTGCTGATTGCATAGTGTTTTGTTTCATAGACTCTGGAATACAACATAGTTTATATATAATCTTTCTTGATGATTATTTAGGTCATTTCTTTCTTTTTTACTCTTAAAAATATTGATTGCATGAACATCCTTTTACCCTGCCCATACAGCCATTTCCTTCTTTGAGATATATTCCTAGAAGTGATATTACTGAGTATGTTTAGTTGGATTTTGACACATATAGTCAGATTGCCCTCCAGAAGTATTGCACACTTTTAAAAGTTCACACTTTTAGTGAGTCACCCAGGAGCTTTCAGCTGTGAAGGAACAACAATCCCAACACAGATTAGCTTAAATAATAAAGATATTTCTTTTTCTCGCATAAACCAGTACTCCAGATGAAAAGTATAATACTATTTTTACTCGATTTCATGTTTTGGAAAGACACGGGCTATGACTGGCCAAACAAAGTTCATGTTATAGTGTGAAAGCAGTGGCTTTACATACTCAGATTCCATTCTAGAGCTGGAGACGGGTGGCTACCTGAACACTTCTGACTCCTGCTTGGAAAGGAAGAATGGATACCCAACACTTTGTCTACACGGGGTAGCCAAGCACACTTTTCCCCAAGCCCTCCTCACCTTGGACATCGTTCAGCCTCCCAGTCTTTGCCAATCTAATAAGTGAATAAACTATCTCTCTTTCTAAAATTTCATCCATACAACAGTGATATTTCACAGGCAAGTAATATTTTACAGTGCAAGCTCTTGTCAGAAATTTGCTGGGTTCACTCTGGAACCATCACTTATCTGCTGTGCAACACTGAGCAAGCTACTTAACCTCTCTGTTGAGGGGTCTCTGGCTCCTCATATCTAAAATGGGGATAATCATAGCTATAATATATAAAATCTCAGTGTTATACAAATAACAGGTAACACCAGTTATTGTAGGATAATGGTGACATTGAAATTTCCATTAACCCTAAAAAAAAAAATACTTGGGGTTTGAGGGAGCCATTTCTTCAACCTTCCCCGTGGGAAGTAATCAAATCTAAGTCATCTCCACTCTGTGACTAATAACCTTTCCAAGGGCTGTTGCATTATGCTACTGTCGCTTCTGTAATGACTAAGCCATCAAGATAGATTTTTTTTCCTAATGACATATACAGCATAGGGCCAGATTCTATTAAGGCAGCCTTTGAGTCTGGACCTGGAGGGGTGATTGTGTCTCTATCTTTCAAAATTGGGCTGAAGGGCGTGGTATCTATTTACATAATGGGGCCTGGGTTCCCTTGTTTGGGGACGCCTGACCCCTCCCTCTCATTCCCAACTCTTGCCAAATGAAGCTGCTTTGGGTTCATTGTGGAGAGCTCACCATAGCCTCATTTCCCTGAGAAGGGGGGTGTCAGGCCGGGCCGGGCCTACAGGCCTCCTCAATGTCCCCCTCTAGGCATTATGCTTCCGCCTCGGGGTTAGCCACAGAGGCCAGGCAGAGCTAAATTAAGGCAGTCACCCAGAAAAATAAAAAAGAAGGATCCACCATTCTGTCCACCCGTGCTTTTGTTTTCAAGCAGGTCCTTTCTGACCCTGACAGCCCATAATTTTGACCCTAATAAACATTTATTTAGACAACAGCACATAAATCAGTTGATGGCTACTTTTGTTACTTATGAACCGCAAGGGTCAGAGGTAAAGAACCGAGTCCAATGAAACGTCTTGAAATTGAAATCATTGCTGAAACAGAACCACTGAAATTAATCTGAAATTCTTTGAGTTCTAATTATTGATGTATGGAGCCTCTTCCCAACTAAACTCCTGGCTCTTTTCTCAGCTTCTGAGAATAAAGAAAATCTGATGAGACGCTTCCCTGATCAGAAGCTCCCCTGCACCGCCAGGATAAACTCCAACCCTTTTATGATGGTGAAGACAGTTCTTCCTAGTCCACCCCCTGCTTACCCCTTATCTCTCAACACCCCTTACCTCTGCCCCCAGCAAAGCCTCAGCCCTACGGCAGCAGGGTCTGTCTGTGTCTCGGTGGGCCCAGGGGATCCCCTCACCGTGAAACACCCCCTCCCCACCCTGCCGCTTTACCCTCACCTGGCTGACTGAGTCTTCATGCTTCTGTCTCAACTAAGATGTCATTTCCTCCTAAGACGGTTCCCCCACCCCGCCAACCCCCACATGCACGGGTGACATCCTTCTGTATTCCCACCAAAGAGCTCAGTGGGGTTCACACTGTGTTCCAATGGCCATCGACTTACCCGTCTGTCTCTCTGATCTTAAATCCTTGAGAGCAAAGACTGTATTACTTACGTTCACCACATCCCCAACACCCAGCCATAGGATCTGGCACTTTAGAAAATGCTTGATAAATTGTGATTGAATGTTATTCATGCCCGTGTGACTTTTGGTATTTTTTGCAATTTAGCACGGAGTTACCCATTCTCTTTATATACTCTCTGCTGCTTACTGAGAACAAGCAGGTGACTCACATTTTCTCCCACCCTGAGCTGACGCGTTATCATGCCATCCGGAGGGCCGCCCTCTCCCCACCCCCTCACACCGTCTGAGCCAAGCCTCAACCCTACCGTGTAGGAACCTGAATGTTACTTTGAGGAATTGCCTTGTGTTGAGCAAGAAGCGTGAGTCAGTGGAAGTTTGTTTGGGACCAGTGAAGTGTGTAATTACAGCTAGGTGCCAAGATGAACATTTCCACAGGTCTGGCATGGGTTGGCAGTAAGAAAAACACGAGAGCGAGAAAGATTGGTTAGGGAATAATCAATGCAAATCAGGCTATTAGGGATAGATATGGAGAGGAAGGGCCAGATTTGAACTGAGGGGTGGGGCTTGGTGATTCATTAGATATAGGGGCAAAAGAGAAAAGAGGCTCAAAATTGACCTCAGAGTCTGGAGTCTAGAACATGGGAAGGCAGGTGATCACTAAGAGAAATAGGAATCATTAGAGGGGTTGTGCTGTTGTTGCAAAAATAGGAGAAGTGTGCTAATAGAGTATGCAAGTTAAAACGCTCAATCATTCGAATAAAAGTTACAGAGAACACAGATCACGTGATTACCATGTGCCAATCACTTTGCAAAACCAACTTCTTTAATGCTTTTTACAACACCATGAGGTGCATTCAATTCTCCCCATTGTATAGATAAGGAAGCTGAAGCTCAAGTCACTAGTCCACATTCACACAGCTGTTCTGCGGGGCAGGGGTGGGATTCATCCTGGTGTGAATCCAGTACGTGGCAACTGAGGTCTGAGAGAGGGCTGTGACCTCTCTGAGACCTCAGGGCGCTACACATCAGGATGCTGATCATACACTGGGATGGGACGAGGTTATCCAGGGAGATGACCTTCAGAGGGAAGGGTTGAGAACGGAGAATGGACATGGGAGACTGAGAGTGGACAGGCAGAAGGAAGAAGAGGGGCCAGAGGTAGAGACTAAGCAGGAGCCACTGAGGAGAGGACTGGATAGAAGAAAGCACCACAGAATCAGGTGGAAACATGTTCTAGAAGAGAATGACGATGGTGCCAAGTGCTGGATAGGGAGGTCAAGAAAGGAAAGTACTTTAAGGCCACGAGATGGTTTATTAATTGTTGGTTGGTTGGGTTAATAATCGGTATGTTTTCCTGAGTGTTTCAGGGCATCCACAGTGCAGAAAGCAGAGAAATGTCAAGGAACAGCATGCACAGAATTGTACGTAGGACCAGCCCAGAAAGGTAGAGGGAAACTCGTGCGGTGGCTTCCATGCTTCGAAGATGCAAAGCTGTGACATGGCACGTATTATCATTAGGTTGCTTGAAACCCACAGGGTATCTCTCCAGCATAGATAAAGCCTCAGGATCACTCTGTGTCAGCAAATTGGTGTTTAGGTTGAACACATAATCTGAGACGGCCTTGACTCCAGTGTTCCTGGGGCCTCTAAGATCATTTGCCAAAGATCCAGATCTTATTTCAAGCTCTTCTTTCAGGCTCCGTCACTGGATGGCATGGAATACGGCCATTGCCAGAATTAGCTACAACTATTGTTCATCTGGAACCATTCAAGTAATACTTTATACACGTTGACAGAACTTACACACTAAGATCATTCCCTTCAACTTTGCTAGCTGCTAAGTAATCTTTCAGCTTGCTCTGCAGAGTTTTGAAACTCAGGGAATTTAAGACGATCTCTGCTAACACTGGCCCCTTTGGAAGAGGAGAAGTTTCTTTCCTTTTCCTTGGTTAAATAATAAATGAACTGACATCCAAGTTACTATGACTGAACTCCCATTAGGGGCTTAATGGCTTCAGGGCGTGTGTGCAGGAGACGATGGATAGGGCATATCGGTGGTCTTGAGGCATTGTAGGAATGTTAAGACTAAAGGAACATCAAAAACCATTCTGCTTAAGCCCTTGTTTTGCATATGTGGCCCAGAAATGTGAAAGGTTTGTTCAAGCCTTGGAGCTAGTGATTAAGGGTACCAAGACTGGAGATTTAGTCTCTTAGCTTTAAATCCAGCTCTCTTTCCACCACGCTCCTCAAGAAACAACTCAGTGGCCCATGTATGATCTAGCATTCTAGCATGCTAGCATCTGATAACTTTTGCTGTCTCTAGAAGTGTACGTTGTGCCTTAGGCGAGAGAGCAGGGAAGGAGCCTGGTAGACTAGCTCCTCAAAACATGTTGAGCAAATAGCCAAGGAATTTCTTAAAAGGTGACATAAGCTTTCTGGAAGGACTGCCCATGCTTTGGAGTATTCACTCTTGGGTTTTGGGGGGTTCCTACCCGCCCCCCCCCCCAGTTTTATTGAGATATAATGGATACCACTCTCGGTTTTAAAAATGGCTTCATCCTATCTAGTTTGTGACATTGGGCAAATTTCCTATTGCTGCTGTAATAAATTGCCACAAACCTAGCGGCTTAAAATAACACAGATTTATTCTATTACAGTTTTAGAAAAGTCCATTTCTTTCTTTTCCTTCCTTCCTTCCTTCCTTCCTTCCTTCCTTCCTTCCTTCCTTC